AAAAAAAAAGACAGCTATTTCGTTGAATATGTGCATACCACATTTTCTTTATACAGTCATTTGTTGAAGAACATGTAGGTTGTCTTCATATCTCTTCAAGAGAATTTTGAAGTGGACTTTCCATCATCCCCTGTCTATTAGGTCTGATACTTTGGTTAGAGGGAGACATAGTGTCTTTTGACCTCACACATGCACAGGGGTCAGAGAACATTCTGTATTGTTCATATGACCTCATACATATCATTTGAGCATTGTGGTGGATCATACCTTTGTCTGGGTTTTATGTTCCATGATTTTACTTCATTTGAGAATGGAAGTCTTAGGTACAGGGCTCCTGGACTGCTCTGAAATCTCCCCTAATCTGTATAGGTGTTCCTTGTGGAAGAGTACAGAAGTGAAACTATGTAAGAGTTGTTCATGTTGACCATAGTTTTCAAATAAATTAGAGAAAATTGTTGTGGTTGTCATCATTATGGCATCCTGGTCTAACTTTACGTTCTGTGACCTGCCTTTGCTTTGACAGAATGCTTAAGGACTTTAGGGATAGGCGGTAAATGTACGTGATAAATGTGAAAAAATAAAAGAAATGTAAGATCATGAATGTTTATAAGAGCAGAAAAAAAAAAAACAATTTTTTAATGTATTTGGTACAGGGTCTCACTATGAAGCTTGGACTTATAGTGATTCTCCTGTTTTCAGCCTCCCCAGCACTGGAATTACAGGCATGTGCCACCACACCTGGTCTAGAAAATGGTATTCTGGTTTTTTTGTTGTTGTTTTTTGGTTTTTTATGTGTTTTAGTACAGGGACTATAGGGTCTCACTACATAAATCAGACTCATAGCCAGTCTCCTATTTTCAGCCTTTCAAGTGCTGGGATTACAGGCGTGCGCCACTACGCCAAGTCTCAGGCACTATGTCAGCATGTACTGGGGGCGGGGCCAGCACAGCACCCAGCAGTCGAACCCTGGTCCCTGTGCCTGTCTAAGCAGGTGCTTTAGTCCGCTGAGCTATTTGGCTGGCCCTAGAAAATGGTATTCTGATAGGATACATTTCTGTAATAAAGTACATCTGTATCTGACATACTTATGTCAGAACAGTTGTTATAAAATCTAAAATTTTTTTGGTTTTCTCTGTTTATTATAGGGTTTCGATGTAAAAGACCAACTGTTCAAGATATGCTTCTATACAACTGATAAAAATATTCGAAACCTTTTGGTAGGTACAGGTGAGACTATACAGCTTACATTTTTTACAAAGCCATAGTTCAAACTTTGGAAGGAAAACTTCAAAATTAACAGTGTTCAACTAATACCCTAATAAATAAATATATGGTCATCTTGTCCTCTTTTTAAATGGTTAGTGTTTATGACAAAATAAAACTTGAACATTCATTAACTCAGAAGTTTAGAATACTTTCTTGTTGTTGCTGTTCTGGAAATCAAACACAAGCCCTCACACACTGGAAGAAAAGTACAGCTTTGACTCCAGAGTGTAATTCTTAAATGTCATTTAATCTCATGACTTTTGTTTTGCAAATATGCTTGGTTTTTGTGAGGTCACTGTTTTAATTTTTTTATTCAAGGTTGAAATTTTAAAAGAAAAAAATTATCTTTCTGAGAAAGAAAAAAGAACAATAGACTTTGTACATCAAGTTGAGAAGTTTTATTTGGAAGACTTCCAAGAAAATGTACAGATCCAGTCCTTTCCCAGGTAGTTTCATTAGTCCCCTTTTGATAATGTTGGAAGAATATTGTAGATAATTTTTAGTTTGTAACAGTTACGTGCCTGAATGGAACAAAGCCTACTTTCCCTAGGAAAATACAACTCATATCATATAGAAGAGACTTAGAAATTTCCTGTCACTTTGATATTTGCATAATCAGAATTGTGTCTTCCCCAAAAGAATAGAACCATTTCAGCAGATAAAAAGGAGTGGTCTTTTTCGTTAAAAATTTAAAATGTGTGTGTGTGTATACTTTATATTTATTATGTCATGGATTCTAGGTATTGGATAAAGGAACAAGATTATTTCAAGTACAAATCTGTTTTGGATTCATTCCTCAAAGATGACCATAAAGAGGAGCTTAACAAACTGGATCATAAAATTGCGTTGAACTGGGCTCGGTGGTGGGATGGGCCAACACAAGAATATATCCTTCTCCCCAGGATAAGTCCAGAAGGTAAGGGTGAGAGCATCTGAGCATATTGAATGAGGATTAGAGTAGGTGTTGGTGCTGCAATATTTTGACAGTTCTATTTTAGAATTCGTTTTTTTGTTTGGTTTTTTTTTAAGATAGTGTCTTGCTGTGTAGCCCAGGATGGCCTAAAATAGTTCCTCTGCCTCAGTCTCCTGAGTGCTGGGATCACAGGCTTGCATCGCCATGCCCAGCCCTAGAATTCCTTTTGATGAAGAATACTAGTTTAGTTTTCTTTAAAATGCAAGTCATTGCATTAAGATTTCTTGCTTATCTCAAGTTTTCTATGATGGCTTCATAATGTGATAGTGGGGGGAAAAAGATACATAGCTCAGTTAATTAAGATTTCAAGGCTAAGTGTTTTTATCCTAGATTTTAAGTCACATTCTTTGTTTTTAAAAAGTTTTTTGTATAAATTGGGGATCTGTATCATATCAGGACCCTGGAGAATAGCAGTGATGGACAATTGTAATTCAGAGCATCAAATTCATGCTTACTATTTTAGCCATTTTTATGTGTTAAAGAAGTAGAAGAGTTGAACAGACAAGTGAAATGCATAGCTAGTAACATTTCATTTTAACTACTAATAATGAGATAGACTATTTAGCTTTTCCTCTGACTATAGTATCAATCAAAAAGTGAGCAGTGCAAAAGAGGAAAATCATAAAGAAGCAAAGAACTTGAATAATTCATATATAAATGTGTTTATGCAGATTGTTTATGTATTACTCAGTTATAAATTTTATTGATCACTGTTGAGTTATCTGCCAATAGTCATAATTCATTGCTATTTTAAACTTATTTTGTTCTTTTATAGAATATAAATCATATTCCCCCAGAACTCTCTGGAGATACCTAACAGATCACCATGATTGGTCAAGCATTAACTTGTGGACTGAAGAATTTCAGACCCTGAAGGATTACGTATCACTTCAGAACAAGTGGCCCCCTCTGACTGTTGATGTTATTGATCAGAATACTTGCTGCAACAACTATATGAGGAATGCAATTTTAGATAAGCTAGCCAGGTATTATAATTTGAGTTAATCCCCTGGGGAAAGCGTAAGCAGAGCATTAAAAATGGTGAAAGGGCAGGAGGTATAAAGGCACAAATCATGGTGGAACATTTGCCTAGTGTGCTCAGGGCTGTGTGTTCAATCCCCACTGCTGCAGAGGAGAGAGAGAGAGAAAAGAAAGAAAATACACACACACACACACACCCCTATTGCTATAATTTTTTCCTTTGCAGTGCCTTAGATCCAGTGTGATGTTGTATATATTGTTTGAGACAAGGTCTTGCTATGTAGTGCAAGTGTAAGCTGGCCTTGAATTCACGTATGTAGCTCAGGCTGGCCTTGAACTTGTGACCCTGCCTTGGCCTCCTGAGTGCTGGAATTACAGGCATTTGCCCCCATGCTCAGCTATTAGAATTTAAAGGACATTGCAATGTACTATCTGCACTTAACATTAAGTCGTAGTGAATAGACTTTCAAATTGTAGATATAGGTTCTTACTGAAATATTTTATGTAGAACTGCTGTAGGTAGGGCTGTAAGAAACTAGTGGCCAGAGCTGAGGAGGATCCCTTAGTGTCCTGGTAATTGTACCCACTCTTCTCCATATTATCCTGTGCTCATGCAGTGTATAGCCTTGAACTTCAAAATATTTCTGGATTCAGAGATAGGGAAATAGCTCTTGATAAGGAAGATTAATAACTTAAGTTTCTTATGCATATTATGTATGTATTTTGTTTGTACTTATTGGGGTGTATTTATGTTTTGTTGTCCTGTCCAATTTAAAAACGTGAAGATTTGAACTCAGAGAAGTTGAATGCTTTGCCCAAGCCAATTACTTATAGACTTGAATTTTTAATTTTCTGTTCACTGTTCTTTCCAATATATTAAATGTTCTGTAATTGTACAGTAGCATACTATAGTTGGGGAGATAGCTCAGTGGAATAAGTGCTTGCCTGGCAAGCTCAAGGTCCTGAGTTTGATCCCTGGTACCACCAATAAAAAACAGTGGCATACTACATAACAATGAAAATTAACTATAACTTGAGTAGTGGTCATGTGGTTTCTTTAAACTCATTTTTCTGTGCTCCTTTGTAATGTATATAAGTGTTTACAATACATTTTTTTACTTTTTTTTTATGTATTTAGTATAGGGTCTATAGGATCTCACTGTGTAGATCCACTCATAGTAATTCTCCTGTGTTCAGCCTCCCAAGTGCTGGGATTACAGGCATGCGCCACCACGCCCAGTCTCAATCACTGTCTTAGGGTGCCCCAGGGGTGGAGCTGGCACAGTGTACAGAAGGGATCAAACTCCAAATGCTGCACTCTGTCTAAGCAGGCACTTTAGTCTGCTGACCTATCTGACTGACCCTTAAATAAATTTTTTAAAGTAATATTTAAATGCAAGTTCCTATTAACAGTTGGTATATTTAAATTATTCTAACTTTTTAGTGATTTTGTTTGGATATTTTAGTGAATTTCTCAGTGATTAGAGCATTCAGCTTTGAGAGCTAACTGCTCTTTAGCCACACTGGGTTGTGTGGTTCCAAACAAAAACAGATGGAGAGAAGAGCTTAGGTTTTTGACATTTCAAAGATAACCTGAAACTGTAATTATTGCCTTTAAATACTATACAGGTATACAAACCTTTATAGAAAACTATCAAAATAAATCTTGGAATTTATTTATAGAGTACAAATTGGTGACCTTAATTTTTAATTTTTTTTTTTTTTTTTTTTTTTTTTGAGATCTAAGCAGTGAAAGTGATTTGGTCTGCTCTGAACCTAACAGCTTTCTAATTTGCCAGTAGGAATGGGATTTTTCTCGTGTCTGAACTGGAAGACTTTGAACTCTTCCTCCTCCGACTGAGCCGAATTGGAGGTGTGATACAAGATACCCTTCCTGTTCAAAACTACAGGAACAAAGTGGGCTGGGATTTCCATTCCCACTTCATTCTCTATTGCTTAGAACATGGTCTGCAGCATCTTCTTTATGTCTATCTTGATCATTACAAGTAAGTACCAAGAATTGACTTTACTCTGTGTACTGCTTGGTTTTTTGGGTTTTTTTTTTTATGTATTTAGTACAGGCTCTACAGGGTCTCACTACACAGATTGGACTTGTAGTAATCCTCCTGTTTTCAGTCTCCCTAGTGCTATGATTACAGGTGTGTGCCACCACACCCAGTCTCGTTTGCCATCTCAGTGCACCCCTAGAGCAGGACCGGCACAGCATGATGGGGATCGAACCTTGGTCCCTACCTCTGCCTAAGCTGGGACTTTAATCTGCTGAGTTGTCTGGCTAGCCCTGCATACTGCTTGGAAACTGATGTTTAAAAAAATACTAAGCATTCTCATGAGGAATCATGCTCTTTTTGAAGTAGTTTCTCTCACCCCAACACATGATAAATCTTTTAGTTCCATGCCACATTTAACTAAACATATATGTGATTTTTTTGTGGCATTAATTCTGTAACCTCTTTGTTAACTTTTTAAATAGTGAAAGGTATGCTTTTAAAAGTTTTAAAGAAAGGAAGATTACAAAAGTTCACTTAGAATTCTTTGATACTTTCGTTGTGAAGAATGCTAATCAACTTTGATTTTGTAGTCATTTCAGAGTACATTAGATGTGCTCTAAAGCATTTCTGTAGATAAATGTACATCTCTATATATCTAAGATCAACCTTCAGGATCCCGTTTGCTTTCAGTGTTGATTGTTACTGAGTAGTAACAACAAGAAACATAATCTGGAATTTATCAGTTCTGCTGGTCTTAGCACTAGACTAAGTACCTTACGAACATTAACTCAATCTTCACAAAAACTCTGCAGAGTGGTTACTTCTATTTCACAGATAAAGAGACTGAGGCTTTGAGAGAGGCTAAGTCTAGGGCACAAAACAAGGAAGTGACACAGTCTGATTCTGTTTAATTCCAGAGCCCACACTTCTGTCCTGTTAGAGAACTTTCATTTTAAATTTTGTGTGACATACAGGGTTACAGGATAAATCCTGAGGGTACTTGACTGATCTTATCAGATACAAAAGTTTCTTGTTATATAGGTCTTGCTTTATCTTGGTCTTAACAATATAGCAGAAAAGTATAAAAATGAGATATATAAAGTAAAGCCATATTAATATACTGAGCTGTGAAAGGCTCAAGTCAACAACTTCTGTGGATAACCCACTACTATGCTGGACTGTGTTGGATTGTTTTGCTGAATTCACATACCTATAGCACTTAGATGCCAATGGAATACCCATCTCTGACAGGACTAAACAAGAAAAGGAGATATGAAGGAAGGACCATTTTGTATTTGTATATATAGAATAGTTAGGATAAATATACAGCTACTTTTGCTTAATTCAACGAGAAGAAAGATTTTTACTAATAGTGTTTGGACAGGGTATCCTGTCTGCCTCTTGTACTATGGATAACCACTAAGAAGATAACAATGTACAATGTATTGATTATTGAAACTGTCCTGTTAATCAGCTTTGAAACTGTCTCATTCATATTTGTTTCTCAATAAAATAAAATTAAAAAAAGAGCATGGAGCAGAGTACTTCAAGTAACAAGTTTTAAACAGTTTTTTAAAAATACAGTCTTTTTTTAAAAAAAAGAGATTGTCCTTTATTCT